AGTGGTCAACTCGCGAGATTCGGTACCTGGTGATCTTTGAGTATCAGGGGAAGAATCCGGATGGATTCTTTCTCCGTATGTCCACTTGCCTTTGGTTCTCTGTTTCCTGTTCCTAACTATTTTTGATAAGAATAGAGTTTAGCTCCATCCGTATAGTTATCAGCTCTACCTAACACGTTCCATACCACCTGTAGGGAAGACAAGGAAAGCGGGAATCCAACTTTGGTGATCAACCAAAACGCGGACAAACACTGGGTGGCACGTTTGGTCATTGCGCCCGGCTGTTTCTGGGCTTGGAATGCATTTTGATTTGTTGCTTTACGCTCTGTACACCCTGATGTAAGTAAAGAGGTTCTCAAACACATGGTCGAGCTGTCTTAATATCCGGAACCCGCCGGAGGGTGGTGCACTTCAAGCCCTTCCACTTCCTTCCGATCGAGCCAGCAATAAGAATGGTTTAGCGGTAGCAGAATGCAGCCACTTTGAAGACCACCTAACTTCATGTTGAATGGAAATGTAGTAATGAAGAGGCTGGACTTAGGGGGGAATATCGACTGCAGGTCCCCGGCCATCTGTGGCTCAGCGCGGGGGATGGGGGCATCTCCACACGTCCAAAATGCTCTGTTCAATCCGAACATCGAATTCTACCTAATGTTCGGTTTGAGTTGAACTCGTGAAAACTTGAGATTCGTTCAACCCCGTTTATCCCCCACATAATAAAACCGTAAAAAAAAAAAGCACAAAACAAGCAAAAGCTATGCCATGACCCTGGGTCGAACAGGGGACCTCCAGATCGGCGTTATGTAAGCGATGTGATTACATAACTTCAGTCTGTTGCTCATCCCAACTGAGCTACCACGGCTTGAAATCTTTTTTCTCCAACAACTCTATCACCTGATTCTCACAACTCAACCAGCATGCAGTAGTGATCCATTGCACTCTCTTGAAGCTCTATCCAGTGTATGGGGTGGGATGATTGTCTACCTTTTGGTTGAACAGTCAAAGCGCAGGTTTCTTCCTTCCAGCTTTCAACATATCACTGTCGTCAGTATTTCAAGTTTCGTGAAACGGGCATCACAACACAAGCACTTCGTTCGAGCCATTTCACTATGTGGAATGATGGAAATGCAGTAGTGGCAGCAAGGCTTGAGTTGGGGCAAAAATCCGCACTTGTCGCCCTCAAAGCTCGAATGAGCAGCGTTGACACCGGAGTTTTGGCAATATATGAAGCAGGTTATTACGGCATAGAGATCGACATCACGCTTTGATCCATTAAATGAGATGAAGAGCCCTCATAAGCAACTACCATTGCCACTACATGACTTTATAACAGGTCCCCAACACAGTATTATCGGCTGAGAGACACGAGGACGAGCAGGCACGATTAACAAGTTGTCTTCCTCTAGATCTAGCGTCCCTAGCTGCCAGTGCCCCGCCCAACATGGCGTAGCGAAGCGCAGGCAACAGCTCCTGTTGTCATCAACGCGACTTTCGTTTCAATGGTAGTGTATTTTGCCTCCATATTGTCCCATATTGACTTGTTGACACTCTTAGACACCAAATACCAGCGCCTTCGTCAGCTGCTCCGTTGGCTTCATCAAATGTGACGAATGATCCGTCGGGACTACACCTCGAAATTGCATACCCGCTGTGGTGGTTTTTCATAGTACCCTATGTACTACAGATTGAATTCCAGCCCATACGAATACAGCGTCTGCAAGAAACACTGAATTCAGCCAACACAAACCGTTTCCTTGGGTCTGGTGATGTACAGGAGCCTGATCAACTCCGCTAAACACTTAATCCACAGCGATGTGCCATTGATGGCAGACGACTGGAGCGTGTAGCGGACAAGAGTTGAAACAGCCTCGACCCTAATGTTTTGCCTTCATCGCTTGATGAGACCACCTGATAGTATCTGTGGAACGACGTGACGCGGTCTGTTTTGATTTGTGTGTCAAGGGTCCAATGTCTGTCGTTTTTCGACCATGTCGATTAACAGTGAAG